TTTAGTACACAAAAAAGTCAATAGATTTTAACATATAGTATATACCTAATAGAAAATTTTATTGATTTGCGTAGAATGTGATTTTGTAACAAAAGGGTGTCAATTGATGCCCCGACCTTTGGACAAAAGTTGGCTCCGCCACTAGTATATATCTTTTTTCACTCATCATCTAATTAAAATATATATTTTTATATGAAAATCATTTTTCAAGTAAATGACTTACATCGTATTAAATACACTCTTTAATAACATGATAAAAAGTTCTTGACGTAAATATAGTGCTTCACATGAGTTAAAAACATAAAGAGCACAAGGAACCAAAAAAAAGGATTATTCAGCATATATAAATGATGAAATGTTAGAAAAAGATTAATTTTATACATATTAAAAGACTAAGGTAATAAGTAACAAAGAAACATTGTGAATTTTGATCAAATAATTCAAGTCTACTCTTCAAAGATTTGGCATAACAACACTCATCGCAAAAAAATGCAATCTCTTACCTTTATGATAAGATGAGCAAAAAAAAAAAAAAACCTTACAAAAATCCATCTCAAATCCAAGAAAAATCTTTTTGCCAATATATTTCATCATTACTAAAATAAAAACCATCTTCTTTGACCAACCAAAAACAATGGTTTGTAGGATTGCACCTTTGAACATCTCTATTACCATGAAAAGCTTGAAATTTCCTCCTTTTTTGGTCCAACTTCATTGTACACAAGTACATAGTGTTCTTCCAAAATTTCGTTTCGACACTCCAACTAAAATCATCGCGTTCTTGGAGGGCACGTCCCCCAATGTCACCGGAGTCATCATCGGACGAGCACCACACGATCAATGGGAGAGATGAGTTGTTGGTGAAGCCATTGATAATGTGGATGTTGTAGATGTTGTTGCCAAAATAGTAGTAGTTATGATGATAAGGTTGTTGTTTTAAAGAAATGAAAGTAATGTAAGTAGCAAGGCCTAATATGAGGAGAAAAATGTTGTGTGCCTTCATGATTATTTTTTTTGTGTTTTTATTTGGTGCTATCAACTATGTAGTTGTAATATATATATTATGAATGAATGGTTATGAAAAAAATTGAAGTTGTAGTGGCTATATATAGATATAGGCAGCTAGCTACATGATTCCTTTATGCTAAAGTGGTGTACTATGAAAATGAAAATCATATTTTTCATGGTATTTGGAATAATTTTAAAAAAATATTGGTGTCAGGTTCAAATTCCAATGAATAATATTGATGGAGTTACTCGATAACTATGCTCGATCATGGGAGATGGAAGATGATTCCCCCTAGAGTTAATCGAGTAGCGCCCAAAATACGACTTTCTTCGTCTCAATTTATGTGATATAATTTGATTGGTGTAGAGTTTTAGAAATATGAGAAGACTTTGCAATGTTCCAAACTAGACTTAATAAGAGTACACTTTTGTAGATTTTTGGTCAAATAAATGGGACCCAACATGGGCAAAATGTTGATAGTGTCGTTAAATATTTGTCAAATAAGGAAATGTGTTATTCTTTCTGGAAAAAAAAAAGTGTGTCATATAAATTGGAACACAAAAAATATATGATTTCTTTTTAACTATCTATATTTTGATGGATAGAATTAACTGACACTTATACTTAGGAAGGCCGAAGATAATGATATACTCTGTGTAATTAATTAAAATGTATATAAGCTGACTCGAACATGTACACCTTACTTAAAAAAAAGTATTTGGAATTAGTTATGCTTATAGTCTTGGTTTTTTAATTTTATTAAGAAACCCCTTTAAGAAAAGTAGAATATGCGATTAGCACCTTATGGTTTTGTCACTTTGTTGTACCTTTTTTAGGCATTAATAATGGGTGAATTAGTGCATGTAAAGTGAAGTTACTTTTTTATTATTTTTAAATTCTTAAAAAATTTTAAACTAAATTCTAGAATTTTAGGTCAAACATGTTTAATTTCTGAATTTCAACTTTAGAAAAAATTTCATGATCAAACGCCCGTTAATTTCGTGTCTTTTGTTTTGTGCAATTATGGTCGTTGCTTTCATGCTTCTATTCCTAGTTATGCATTATCGACAGGCTAAAGATATAAGATAAGAATTAAAAAAAGAAAAAAGAAAAAAAAAAACAGAAAACGCCAAAATAATATCCCAAAAATTTAGGCAAATAACTAGCATAGTTAAATGTGTGCATTTTTCTGATTAGACCTTTGTGTGCTTGTACTGTGCAAAAAAACATTTAGGCAAATCGCGGCGTATTCAAAATTTTGAATTTTTTTTTTTTTTACCTATTGAATTCTGAATAAATTTAGGAATTTAGGAATATTAGATCAAAATTATTTCCGTAACTTTAACTATATCTTTGCGACTAAAGACGGATCTAGAAGATAGCTCCTTTTCGCAATTATTAATTTATAATTAATGACTTAAAAAAATAAAATCACATATTTATAAATATTTTTGAATGTTGATTCCGCCTCTGCACGCGATAAATATGAATCATGGTCAGGCACTACAATAAAGTTTCCTTTTTATCCTAAGGATCGATTAGCTACGTTTCATGACTAGTGATTGAACATTTATATTTTATATATACTAAAATCCCCACGTCTGCAATTCTTGTAACAAGCATGCTGATCCTATAATATTGTTCAAGATTTTAATAATTGGTCATCATGATATTTATGATTTTTTTTAATTTTTTGGAATTAATATACAGAGTGTTAAATGGACGGATTGTCCGACAAGTTAAAATAGATTGAGTTAATATATAAGTGGGTTAAAATTATTTGAATTGAAATGTGTTGTACTGAAATGAGCTAAAAAAATGAGTCATAAACCCATCCCTCTGATTTTTACTAAATTTTAATTTCTTTGTTTGAATTTGTATGATTCTTTGGCACCTAATATATATATTATTTATTGTGGTTATAATTTATATATAATATTGTTGAATAAATGATTCAAACAAAAAGAAGAGAAAAGTTACTGCAGTTTCTTTTAGTGTTTTTACTGCACTTTGACTTAGTCTAGGATAGTTGTTATTTGGTCCTTAAGTTTCTTTTTTTAGTTGAAAGCACTACTGAGTTAGTGCCCTTTTAATTCTGCATTTTAGTTGAGTTGTAAGCCTATTTAAAAGGCATCATCATTGATGCTGAAGGATATATGAAAACAGAAGCTTACAGCTTATAGTTAAAGACTGCCTGCTAGTTATTTTTTTTCCTTCCAATATTTTGGTTCTTGTGTGAGCTTGAGGTCTGTGTTCTCCAACAAATATTTCAAATAAAATGTCTTTTTGAAAATATTTTGATAAGATTTCTCATGAATTAATTTGTGCTATATACTATTTCAATTTTTGATGGACTGAAATGAATTGTACTAAAATGAACTGAGTTTCAACATCTATTAATCTTACTAATTCATTTTCAGACTGCATAAGACTCATTAAGGAGAAGTGCTTCCAATCGTTTTTTTTTTCTTTTTCAAGGTTCGAATTGAAACCTCCAAAAGGATCATATCCATCCAACCACACTCATTTATGATTATTTTATGCTATCATTAAACAAAGTTTCCAGTCCCCACATTTGATCTTGGACAATTCTCATGACCTCATGGAAATTAACATTTTAGATTGAATTAGATCTGACATACATTTTTTTTATTGATAATATCAGAGTCTAATCAATCTCAATTTTTCATTTACTTTATATCGAGCCAGCTCTATATTATATAATCTATGCTCCAGTTGGCAGGTCTAAACATTCAGAAAAATATAAATAAGCTCCCGAATTTGGTCATTTGAGGTAAAAAAATAAAATCTTTTTATATGATCTTCGACAATTTTATCGATTGGCATAAAGAAATAAATATATAGATTAGGTTCTATCATGGAGGGCAAAATTCTGTTATGTGAAAGTAACCATACATAATGATGGAGGAATTTCTATCTTATATTATCTGAAATCATACTCTTCAATGACTTTAAGCTTTATCTATTATAGTGCTGACCCTAGAAATGATCATGTACAATAAGTGGTGCAATATGATTTTTCAAGAATTGCAAAAATCTAAAACAAAAAGAAAGTATAGGTGTCGAAATATTCAGATAAAGATGAAATCCACGTCAAGTCTCGTTACAAAATTATGAAGCCTCATATAAGACATCGAATTACCAAAAGAGAAGGGTTACCAAAAATTAAAAGTAAAAATGGACCAATTAAGATAATGGATTATATTAGAGAGGACTATTCTTATCAAAATAATAGCTGACAAATGTGCTAAAAGGGCATGTTACATTAAAAATAATGTCCCTTTTGAAAATTTTAAATTTCTTTTTTTAATTGTCCTAAAACAGAAAAAAAAAACAATTATTTTATTTGCATAAAATATTGCTCTGCTGGTAATGACTCACTAGGGCATTTTTAAAATGATTTTTCATATATTTAAGGCATATTAATAAAAATATTGACAATTTGTTATATTAGGAGGATAGATAGTTAGAAACTAAACACCTATTTGCATGGGCAAATCCACATCCCCAAACCTCAAACTATATTTTGTTCTTATCCTCTAGTATAATCTATTATCCAAACATTTGTGAAGTTGATAATAATAAACATAATAAATAAAAATAGAATTATTATAACAAAAAAATGGGAGGTGAAAATAATATCTAGTTAGAGATTTTTAAGGAATGACTTTAATTACCAACACTTATAAATACTTGTACTTTTTACATTTTACCTAACTATCCCATCAAATAACTTCCCTCCTTTTCTTTAGATTAACCAAAAAAAATTTAAAAAAATTATCGTATTTGCTATCTTAATTATCCTATCCTATCCCTCTTTGCTTTGCTTTAATTACTTTCAATTATTCTCAAATTTGAGATTTGTGTTCTTTGTTGTAGTTTTATTTGTAACAATATCGTGAGTAAAAAGGTCCAGTTGACAATCTGAGCACAGGCCTCCCAGATCGTTCCGTCTTTCCTCTATTCCTTTTTTTTTAATCACTAAAAATGACTATCCAACTAGAGGGAAAAAAAATCCAAGACCAAGACCAATTCATGGTGCCTCAAACAAATGCATTTGGACATAATTTTAGGGACTACAACAATGCACAAAGTGAAAGGCAAAAAGGGGTAGAAAAATTCTACAAAACACAACATATAAATCAAACATATGATTTTGTGAAGAAAATGAGAGAAGATTATACAAAATTAGACAAAGCAAAAATGAGCATATGGGAATGTTGTGAATTACTAAATGATGTTGTTGATGATAGTGATCCTGATTTAGATGAACCACAAATTCAACATTTATTACAGAGTGCTGAGGCAATTAGAAAAGATTATCCTAATGAAGATTGGTTACATTTAACAGCCTTAATTCATGATTTAGGCAAAATATTAGTTTTACCTAAGTTTGGTGGTTTACCTCAATGGGCTGTTGTTGGTGACACATTCCCTTTAGGATGTTCATTTGATGAATCAAATATTCACCATAAATATTTTAAAGAAAATCAAGATTTTAACAACTCAATTTACAACACAAAAAATGGAATATATAATGATTTTATTGGACTAGAAAATGTCATGATGTCATGGGGTCATGATGATTATATGTATATGGTTGCTAAAGAAAATGGTACAACATTACCATCAGCTGGACTTTTTATTATAAGGTATCATTCATTTTATCCATTGCATAAAAATGGAGCTTATAAACATTTGATGAATGATGAAGATGAAGAAAATTTGAAGTGGCTTCATGTTTTTAATAAATATGATTTGTATAGTAAAAGCAAAGTTCATGTTAATGTGGAAGAGGTAAAACCTTATTATATGTCTTTAATTGAGAAATATTTTCCAGCAAAGCTAAGGTGGTGAAAAGGAGGTGATATATGAAGTTATGAACAAATTATATTGTAAATATAATTTGTGAGATGTGGATTAAGTTGTATAATAGATAGTTTGTAATATTGAAGTAATAATAATAATAATTAAGGAGTGTTTAATAGTCTCTTATGGGAATGGAATGGGAAAATTACTATATAATAATACCCATTCTTTTCCTAAGAGATTGAATATGTACATAATACATGATATTAATAAAATGATATATAATAGTTATTTATTACATAATATGTGTGACTCATCTCTTGTTATTTATCTTTCATGTTTTTAGGATATTATTTTGGCTTAATACTTTTGCATCCTAAATTTGTCAAATAATTTCATTCAGATACTGAACTACAGTTTGTTTCAATTGAACAACTGAACAAATGAAGTGTTTTTTTATTAGAAACTTTTTTTAAAAAAAAAAATTGTATGTATTCTCATGTGTCCAGTGTTTATATCAGGTAGTTAAGTTAATTACACAAAAAAATTCATCTCATTTTGTGATACACACATCATCCTCAATCAGAAAACGCATAGAATTTTATTGCTTATTGAGGCAAATGGTATAATAAAAAAAGGTGATATTTTTAAGTGCTTAACTTATTTACATAATAAGCCATCTTTGAAAACACATGCAAGAAAATCCAAAAGTTGATGCAAAAATATTTAAATAAAGGAAAAAGGTTCAAATATATTATTGAACTTTGAGAAAAGAACTCATTAATTCCATCCGTTAAAGGTTGCTTCATGAATTAATTAAAGATTTGAAAATTAAACTAGAAAGGAGGAATTAATTCTTGGAAAAAAAGTTCTTCATACATTAGAAACAAGTTAAACCAACAAGCCCAATGAAATTGGGAACATAAACATAACCTAAACAAACTATACTATTATATCCTTATTACACATTAACTTGGGAACAAAATACTAGATAACACAATGATCTAGGAAATAATAGTAATACTAACACTTTTAATTAAAAACATAAAATTTAAATACTAGACACTTGAAACAACACAAGAACTAGGAGAACATGCATGCAATAACAAAATAAAATATTAACCAACACTATATAGTAAAACACTTCAAGGAATAATAACTCCCACACCTTTATAACCACCAATTCCACCACCAACACCTAGTCCACCACCACCAACACCTCCGGCACCGCCAATGCCACCGCCAATCCCTTTAAACCCGGCACCACCAAGACCGCCACCGACTCCACCAACACCACCGGCGGCACCACCAACGCCGCCTACGGCACCGCCAAGTATTGGCAAAACCCCACCTACTCCACCAATTCCGGAACAACCCCCTATGCCACCATATGTTATAAAATTTTTCTTGTCATTAAGTCCTCCAATTTTGCTTGGTGTTGGAGAATTAGTACTTAAAGTCTTAGTGTTTACATTTTGAACCTCAGGAATATTTCTTGCTGTGGCATGGACTAGTACTAGTGCAAACATGAATATTATGGACCAATTTGCCATTTTGTTTACTCCAAAAACTTATGTTTCTCTCTATTTTTTCTATCTCCTTGCACACAAAAACAAACAAATAAAAACAGACTAAGGTTGGTGAATTGTGGTATGTAAGAAATTGTGACAAGAGGTCTATTTAAAGATACATTTGAGGGACAATTGAGTAATTATGGAAAAGGCAATAAATATAGTACGTCTCCTCCCTCCTTCGATCCAATTCAAAGATTAATATTCTTTTCGTTTCAAAATAATTGAATTGTTGAGACATTTTTCATATTTCAGTTTACTCAACTTAATTGTTCAATCTTCAAGACTACTTTTAGAATATTCTTCCAATTTTACCCTTCATTTGAATTTTCTATGTGATGAGTTGAAGAAACTTTAATTGCTTTGAATTATTCTAAAGATTACTTTGACAATAATTAATAAGGGGAAAAATGGAAAGTAATGTCTAATTTACTTTTCTTAAAGGATGTGAAACACCTCAACAATTCAATTATTTTGAAATGGAAAGAATATACTAGTACTACAAGATGTTTTTTCCCACCGAAAGAAAATTTGTGTTATAGAACATGATTTTCCCACTCATTTCCGTTGAACCAACTCGCTAAAAAAAGGCAAACATATTCTCACTGAAATACCAAAAAACTCTCTATTTTTCTGTGTAAAAATAGTAGTACTTTTTCTTTTCTTACCAATTCAATCAGAATATTTCTGAAATTAACAACCAAATATTTTTCAGTGAAAAATTCAATGGGAAAGTAATTTTTAGTAGTGATAGTTTTGGTAAAATGAATTTGTTTACAAGTATTTGATATATTTATAAAAATAAAAAAACAATTTATTATTTCATTTATTTCAATTTATGTAGTAAAATTTGAATTGAACAGAGTTCAAAAAATCGATACCGAAGATATGCATATATCCTCTCCTCGCCGAGGTATAGTATATTCTCTCCGTCTAACAATAGTTTCACACTATATTATTTTAGAATGTTCCAACAAAACTTGTCCACTTTATGAAATCAATGGATAATTTTACACTTAGTTCCTAATTTACCTAATTACCTTTATCATTAATCATAGTCATTTCCCTATTACAATTTTCAAGACATTGTATTTATTACTCTCTCTATTCCTAAGTACTTGTCCACTTTTGAATTGAGACCACATATTAAGAAAACAATGATTGACATAGTAAGTTTACCATTTTACCTCTATTAATTATGAAGTGGATGAATTAAAAACTTAAAATTTTCAAAAAAATTTACCTTTTTAAAAGTAATTAATTGAGGTATAATAGGTAAATTTTTTTGTCTTTTCTTGATTTATCAAAATGAACAAGTAATTAGGAACAACTAAAAAATGAAAAGTGAACAAATAATTAGGGACATAGAAAATATATTCAAAGAATGATATAATAAAATTATTTTTTTATTTATAGTTTCTTAAGTGTGCAAAATCAACCGTGAATGAGTATAGTTGGACAGAAAGAGTAAAAGTTGAGCATCAAATTAAAACTCAACCATATACAACATCTCGAGAGTAGCATTATAGAGTATAGTCAGAGTTAGGTGAAGGAAAAGAATAGATCATTAATGTTTTTGTAAATGTCAACTCATTAATAAATAAATAAAAATCAAATTCCATAGTATTTATTGTGTTTATAATTATTATATCACGCAATTCAAGCTGGCCATGCAACTTCATGCATACTGTTTCCTCAACACTTGTAACAATTGTAGATGAAATTAATTAGTCATGCATTTTCTCTATTTTACATTCCCTATACACAATTTCTATTAGAGATATTACTCTTTTTGGGATCAATAAAAGGAGAATATATCCAAAGTTTCATATAAATAATTATCAGTATAGGAAATTTAATGATTCGATTAATTTAAATTTATTCGCGTAAAGCCTAGGTAAGAGAAATCATTCCTTACCATAGATTTCTTTGAGGAATAAATTTTCATACAAATTAAACAATTATGAAAATTTGAGAAAAAACTTTGAGGAGAGAAATGAATTAGTTGGACGTATACCTAGGGAACCTCAATTATATTGATGAAGTCACTATGATATATATATGTTGGGACCAATATTAATGAAACAGAAAATATTCAAGTCTTTGTTAGTCAGTACGTTGAGTTGATCTATTGAAGATAAATGCATTAAAAATAAATTTGGTGACACCTTCTGTTGTTGAGAAATGATAGGGGTTGTTCGGATGATAAGCATTATCTATTTTCAATTCTGAAGTTATACGTTCAAGTCATCAAATGAATGAAAAGATAGAATCCTGAATTTATACGTTCGAGTCATCAAGTGAACGAAAAGATAGAATCCTAAAGTTATACGTTCGAGTAATCAAGTGAACGAAAAGGTAGAAACAGCGGCCTAGGAGGGACAAAAAATTTGAAATGAAGCTTTGCTAATAAGCATCAATTAAAAATCATTTAATTGCACGATTTATTCTTTAAATTGTCTGTCCATATTTTTAGCCTTGTCTAAATTGGTCTTTTCTGTCAAGCCCATCCCATTTTTAACATATTCCTTGAGAATTTAGAAGGTTAAATTTGTGTTTAGGGAAATTGTTAAATTGTGATGATAAAAAAACATGTTTCTTCAAGTTAATTAATTAGCATGATTAGTTCTTAACCATGGATTTTTTTTTCTCCATTATAGCAACAAAAACCTCAAAAAGAGACACGTGTATGCATGATTTGCTTCCACACTTGCAACATACAACTACTAGCAATAACATAGGAAAGAAAACAAAAACAAGAAAAGGGAAAACTTTTAATCAAAGATTATTATTATAATTATCTTAAGAGAAATAAATTAAATAGCAAATCAAGAAGAAAAAGAAATGGCTCATTTAAAAGTAATTATAGCCAAAATGTCCAATTGTATTTCTACTAGATTCATGATGGTGCCTGCAGGAAATGTATTGATCTATAGAGACTTTGTTAGTGCCACAAGACCTTCTCAAAAAGTGAGTTTTAATTTGTTTATTTCATCTTAGTGTCTGAGTCAGTTTATGCGCACATAGATTGATTTTCCACCAACATGAATATAAATATCGAGTAACTCAATCGATCAAAACCTGAACACAGTTAGAAAATATATATCATTGAGTATATTTGTATGCCTCCACTAAAATTTGAACCTGAAATGCTCATTTTTCTTCTTGAATATATTGCATTAATCATGTTTATATATATACATAAATATTTGAGTTTTAATTTGTTAATTTTATCTTTTTTAATAATCATAGTGTCTGAGTCTGAGTCAGCTTATGCACACATTGATTGAATCCTACGAACATAAATATGTATCGAGTAACTCTGTTCACTAAGACTTGAACAGATAATTAAAAAATATCATATGGTATATTATTTGTATACCTTTACTGAAATTTGAACCTGGAACACTCATTTTTCTTCTTGAATATTACATTAATAATGTTTTTGTTTTGTATATACACAGAAATATTTTCTTGTTTTTGGTTTAAATTTTGAATTTTTTTAATGAAGATTGATAAAGAGACATGTCAAAAGATAATAGAAGCAGCAGAAGCAGTGAAAGAAGGAGCTAAAGAAGTGAAAAGTGTGGGAGAATATGTCAAAAAAACTGTTTCTGATAGTGCTGGAAATGTAAGCCTTTTTTCACCTATTTATATAGCTACGAAATTTATCGTTAATCTCCAAATCTCGTATCTGTATCGATGAACGTCAGAACGATGAAATTTATCGTTAATTTCCAAATCTCGTATTTGTATCGATGAACGTCAGAACAAAACCTGTTTTGTCACTATATAACATATATTGATATATACCTAACATGATTTTTTTTAAAAATAATTCGTTAATAATAAACTTAATTAGTGACGAATTGATTATTTATTGTTTAGCGACAAAAGTTGTTCAGGTTAATTCTTATTTTATTTTATTATTTCATTAATGTTATGTTGATTAATTAGGTGATATCAGAGGTGGCAAAAGCAGCACTAGATAAGGCAACTGAAAAGGAAGAAAAAGGTGCATGGGATAAAGTCAAAGACACTGCAAATGACATCAAGAATAAAGTAGTTGGCAAGTGACTTAATTAATTAGCCTTAATTACATCGAATTTAAGTTTTATACATCGTCAATATAAGAATTTATCTCAAAGTGTAATTTAATTAATTATAATAAGTTAACGTCCGATGCTCCGATCTAGTTCACATTATTATATCATACAAGGAATTACATGTTATTGTAGGTCATTTAGTTGATGGTATAAAACTTCTTTATATATTCCCGTTAAGCCACCATCAAATAAAAATCATAGCTAATAGAAATTTGTGATTATCCGTTGTGAAATAGAACTAGCGAGAAATTATGTTGTTTAGTTACAAAATTTGTCCATTGCTAATATCTTTTTTTGTAAGTAGTGATCAATTACTTCTTAAGTTTCTCTTTCATACCTAGTGAGGTACTAAGGATAAGAAATGCCTCTTGGCTTGGCTTGGCCTGACTTCGTTAAATTGGATTAAAGTTCAATTAAGTTCAGTTCGATTCAGTATTGTAAAAAAGTTTGATACGGCTCGACTCAAACTTTGTTTGACAATGGAATAGACTAAAGTCGAACTCAATTCAACTCGACTCAACCCACAAGTGTATGTATGGGATAGTGAAGTGCTCGTTGGCCTGCTTCTATTTTTCGAGATGTAATCCAAACAGGTTCAAGTGCATCATTAATAATAGAGGCAAAAATGGATGAATGGGCTTAGGATGGATTAGAAATTGGGCTTCATAATTATCAAGACCAGGCCCATGGATTAGTTTTCCTTGTCCAAGTCCAAATGGAGGATGGATGGGCCAGGAGCCAAGCCCAAGTACTGTATTTAGTTTTTTTTCTTTTCAAAAGTTAATTGTCATTAAATAAAGAAAGTAAGAAAAAATGTATTTATACTAGCATAATTATTTTGATTTTGTTTAAGAAAAAAGCCAAATAGTTTAGATGATATCAAAACACAAACACAAGCAAAAAAACAATTGGTACTTTGTATCCAAGCCTCAGCTATAAAAAAGAAACCCTATGTCATTTGGTTATATAAGATAAGGCATAAAATTTACAAATAATCACTTTTCAATCTTTGTAATTATAAATAGTCATTATCCTAAAATTTGAAACTCAATGATAACAATTATTTTTCAAAGACAAGACGAAAAAAAAATTCCAATAAACGTAATTTCCACAAGGAATTAGAAGGTTATCCAAATAAGAAATTTAAAATTGATTTATACCTATATTTGGTTATGGATATCCATGCTTAAGTGTTGAAATTAAGAAACAAGTTAAATGTATTTGCAACATCTCCTTTGTTTGTAACTAATACTCTTAAAAGAGATGCTGATGGAACTGTTTCATACAGATGAATGATCTTTAATCATTATAAGTAAAATTCTTCTATTATTAAAAAAAAAAAACCTTATTTTGAATAGAAGACATATTAATTGCACAATGGAATAAAAATGAAAGAAATAATAGGAGTGGAAACAAACAAATGAATGGACTATGTGATTATGTTGCTACCAAAAGAAGAACAAAAATTTGAAGGGTCAGAAACCTTGTACTTCATACTGTCATAGTAATAAACTAAAAAAAGAATAAAAATAAAAGATTCACCAACCTTAAATCTCATAAATATGCTAAATATTTCCCCCACTTCAATGCATGTCACAATTACCTATGGCACAAGAGCCAAGTACACTACCATCCGTCTCAAATTATTTATCGTGATTTTTAAAAGTTATTACTCTTTTCGTTTAATTTTACTTGTCATTATTTGACTTGACACACTCATTAAGAAAACAATTGTTGATATATGTATTTTACCACAATATTTTTACTAAAAAATTTGTGTTTTCTTGATATGTTAAAAGTGACAAGTAAAAATGAAAATTTATTTTAAGAATAAGTGACAAGTAAAAATGAACGGAGGGAGTATCTTAATTATTGTGTATATTTTAAAAATTATACACAATCTATCGTTTTGATTCGCTTCGATTTGATCAATTTTAAACCAAATCATGAACATTCTTATATCCAATCTTCGATAGATTGAGTTATCTGATATTTATGTGTGCACGTAAGCTAACATAAACACCATAATTATATTTTTTTATTTGTTAAAGTGCATCATATCACAATAAATGTGTGCACACAAGTGGCTTGAACACCATAATTATATTTTTTTGGGCTAACCCATCGGTGGCCCCCTAAACTTGGCACGATTTTTCACTTAGACACCTTAACTAGGCTTTGTTCATTTTAGACACCTCATGTCAGGCTCCGTTGTGTCATTTTGACACTTTTTTCACTAGCACATGTTGACTTCAAGTGCGTGTTAACCAAGCGCGTCCATGTGGATTAGATGCCCAATTATATCATGCCAACTCATTAAAAGACTATCATATTAAAGAGGAAAAATAAGAATTAAAATACATGACAAAGTAACCAATGAATAAATGACATGTGGTCTTTTTATCCCAAAAAATTAAATTAAATATTTGACAAATTTAAAGAAAAATGCAACCCCCACAACATCCCTAGTCATCTTCTCCATTCATCTTCTCCATTGTATTACTCCATTTTTATTATTTTTGAGCTTTATTCTTTCTGTCATAAACCCACACCCACACAATCTACTCTATCATATTCCTTCATTTTCATTACCTTTTCCGTCACACCCATAACCACACAGCCATCTTCCCCGTTTTATTCCTCTTTTTCATGATTTTTTTTTGCCATATTCCCCATTCATTGCACCCTCCCTTAGGGCTAAAAGGTGCAAATGTATAACAACAATGGTTCATATTTTAAAGATTGCGTCTCTTTTTCTTTAATTTTGTGATATTTGCAGTTTAATTAGGGCTCAAGGTTAGTGAGATTAACATTTACATAGTAAAAATTGAGATTTTTTGGCTCCTATTTTAGGATTATTGTGGGTGAACTTTACATGATTTAGGGTGTTGTTGATATGAGTTCGATTTCTTGTTTCTTTTTGGGTCTATCTGAGTTTGTAGTGCGAAATTTAAATTGAAATTATTATAACAAAAAAATTAACCTCCATTGAAGTACTTTAAGCTTTGAGAAATAATGGGAGAGATAATGGCAATAAAATGGGAAAGAAGAAGAGAAAAAATAAAATAAAATAGACTAAATAAGTCCCTCACGCGTCAATAGCGAGTGTATAACACTCACTTTGCCATGTCAGCTGAAAGTGTCAAAATGACACAACGGAGCCTGACATGAGGTGTCTAAAATGAACAAAGCCTAGTTAAGGTGTCTAAGTGAAAGATCGTGCCAAGTTTAGGGGGCCACCGATGGGTTAGGCCTATTTTTTTTAATTATTAAAGTGCATCACATCACAAAAAATTGTACACACAAGGTGATTCAAACACCATAATTATATTTTTTTTTTATTATTAAAATACATCGTATCACAACAAATATGTACACACAAATTGATCCGAACAACATAATTATATTTTTTCATTATTAAAGTGCATCCCATCACAACAAATGTATACACACAAGCTTACCTGACCACCACAATTATAATTTTTTTTTATTTTAAGTGTGTCACATCACGACAAATGTATGTGTAGACATAAGCTGATCCAAACACCATAATTATGATTTTCTATTATCAAAGTGCATCATATCACAATAAATATGTACGCTCAAACTGATTTGAACACCACGATTATAATTTCTTATTATCAAAATGCATCAAATCACAACAACAATAAGCATGTATACACAAACTGATTCAAACATCACGATCATAATTTCCTAATTAAGGTGCATCACATCATAACAATTTTATGCATACAACTACACAAGCTAACTCGAACACCACCATTATATTTTTTTATTATTAAAATGCATCAAATCACAACAACAATAGACATGTATACACAAGTTTATTCGAACATTACGATCATAATTTTCTAATTAAAGTGCATCACATCAGAACAAATATATGCACACAACTACACAAGCTAACTCGAACACCACATATAACATCACATCACAACATATGTCAGTGCTTAGATCAATAGTTCACTGTCAGTCCCAACAACTTATTATGCCAAGTGGAAACAGCTAATCTACACACCAAAACCACTTCAACTCCATCACAAATTCTTTTATTCCTCTTAAAAAACCAATCTTTTTCCCCTTTTCTTGATTCTTGATCTCCCTCAAAAAATGCAAATGCAATACAAGAATTTAGGCAGATCAGGCCTAAAGGTATCCCAGCTTTCTTATGGAGCATGGGTTACCTTTGGAAATCAACTTGATGTCAAAGAAGCAAAAACCCTTTTACAATGTTGTCGTGACCATGGTGTCAATTTCTTTGACAATGCTGAGGTTTATGCTAATGGCAGAGCAGAAGAAATCATGGGTCAAGCGATTCGTGAACTTGGGTGGAAAAGATCAGACATTGTTGTGTCTACAAAGATTTTTTGGGGTGGTTCTGGTCCAAATGATAAAGGGCTTTCAAGAAAACATATAATTGAAGGAACAAAAGCTTCATTGAAGAGACTTGATATGGATTATGTAGATCTGATCTATTGTCATAGGCCTGATACAAGTACACCTATTGAAGAAACTGTTAGAGCTATGAACTATGTGATTGATAAAGGGTGGGCTTTTTATTGGGGTACAAGTGAATGGTCAGCTCAGCAAATTACTGAAGCATGGGGGGTTGCTCAAAGATTGGATCTTGTTGGTCCTATTGTTGAGCAGCCTGAGTATAACTTGTTGTCTAGGCATAAGGTAATTTTTTGGACTCTGGTTCTTGGATTTGGATTGCTTCTAGTTTATATTATGGTTTATTGTTGTTTATGTTTTAGTATGATGATATGAAATGAGATTAGAATGAAGAAATGGGATTCATACAGCCTGGGGCTGAGGCATAACTATTGTTGTTGTTGTGTTATGGTTTGTTGTAGTTTTTAAGTATGATGATGATGATATGAAATGAGCTTAAATGAAGAAGACGGATTCATATAGCTGATCTCAACTTATTTGAGACTGAGGCATAGC